AAAGTGTGAAGGCAAGAGGAGAAGGGGACGACAGAGGATGAGATGGCTGGACAGTGTCTGCGAAGCAACCAATGTGAAATTGACACAACTACGGGAGGCAGTGGAAGATAGGATGGCCTGGCGTGCTCTGGTCCATGGGGTCACAAAGAGTTGGACATGACTAAATGACGACAACAATATAAAGTTGAGAATGACAAGTGGATTTAAACTCTGAATGTCACTTGGTGAAATGACTCAGTATGAACTACCTCACAGGGCTACTGTATTTGTTGTTGTTGTTTAGTCATTTAGTCATGTCGACTGTGACTCCATGGACCAGAGCACGCCAGGCCCTCCTGTCTTCCACTGCCTCCCAGAGTTAGATAAAGGGAGAAGGAAGGAAGCCATGCATACCACCCTGAGCTCATTAGAGAAAAGGCATGTTATAAACATAACAATCAACTAAACAACCAACATAATGCAAAAACAGCATGCTGAATGTCTGTTCCTTTGAAAAAGTAAAACAGGACATCAATGTCTTCAGCATTTGAAAGCGGGGGGGGGAAGGAAAGAGTTAATAAAGACCCCCTAATCTCTGCATTCATGAAATTACACCTCCAAATGTCCAGAGGAGTAGTCTTATTAGTCTACAGTCTTGTTGCAGGGGAAAAAAAAGGCAAAGAGCTTTGTGGTCCCTTAAACTGCAGCACATTTTATTTGACAGAAGCATTTTCAATGGCATGGAAATCACTGTGAGGGCCACCAACATGCAGGATTTTTATTTTATTTTTTTTACAATTTTATTACATTTCACACCCTGCAGCCCTTGAGTCTCTGTACTGAGACTATACTGTCAAGGATCTGAGGACGTGGCCTCAGCCCATGAAAGCTTCCCCTAAAGGAAATTTGTTAGGTGCCACAAGACACTTTGTTGTGTTCGCTGCACCATGAAATAGTCTCTTGTCTTCTCCATCCTTTGTTTCTGTACACAGCCTGATCCTGGTGGTAGCCACATTCCAGGCTCTGGCATCCTGCTAATGTTACCCGCTGGGCAGGGCTGCCTCGTATCCTGAGCAGTACAAGCAAAGAAGAGCATCACCACTGATTGAGCCATCATCACAGCCTGACAGTCTCCCCACCCTCTGCCAATACACAGAGAGAGAGAGAGAGAGAGAGAGAGAGAGAGAGAGAGAGAGAGAATCCTCCGCCACCTCTTTGCTTAATTAAGCTCCCTCCTTGCTCGGTGATGCCGATGGGGTGTGAGCTGCTCTGTGAATGCTCTCTGGGTCAAGTTGGCGAAGGATCTGCAAGGATCTGGGACTCAGCTGCCGGTGCTGGCATTTGGGGAGGACAGACCAAGCATTCACACTTCAGGCAACTCAATGCCATCATTGTCTCCACGCCAATTAGACCCCCACAAGGCCAGGGGCACAGAAGAAAGAGAACGAGAATGCCAAAGGAAGGGCTGGTCTGAGGGTGCGGTGGGGAATGTTTTATCTCGGGGAAAGGAAAAGCCAAGAGGAAGAAAAGAGCAATATCTCTTAGCATGAAATGTTAATTGCCCAGAAGAATGCTCTTCTTTGCATCAAAGGGGCTAACAATTTGAGGCTGCTTCTGTCAAATATTCGTGATTTTTTAAAATAAAAAAATCCCCTCAGGTTTTTCCTGCCCCCTCCCTTCTTGTTTTGCCTTCTGCTGTCTCCTCTCCTTTCTCTCCTTAGATCATTTCCCCCCTTCATTAAACTTTGAAGATACTACAATAAAGGAAGGTATTCAAATATAGAGATAACATTATGATTACATTTCGGGAAGATTGTCTGGTGCCTATGAATTCCAATATAAAAAGAGCAACCTCCAGTTAAATGCAGTAAAGTTAGTTAAATAGGTTGGAAGTCTGGGGGAAAACAGGCAAAGTTTGGGATGAAATAGAAGGCAAGCACTTAGTGAGCTGGTAATCCATTTTCTAGGTTTTGAGCTTAGATGTTTTTGTTCCTTGTGCAGTGCTATAGTGGAGCCAAAGCTTGTAGGATGGAAACAGTGGGACTTTTTATTATCAAGGAAAATGGCATAATCTGCCACCCGACTCAGATTTTCATCCTTGCTGTGATTTTTATAGTAACTGTGGAAGAATTCATTTCCAAAGCAACAGTGCTTTCTTGTGAGTTTCCTATAACAATGAAAGGCATTTCGGAATGGCTTGGTTTTAAACAGGCAATTATGATCCATCAGCATTACAAAAGACCTGCTCTTGGTGGAGAAGAAAATGGCTAAAACTGTTTGGTCGATATGGGTCAACACAGCTGTCCCTGTATTTTGGGACATAATTTGGAGGGATAACTGGTGAATCCCAGTATTTCTGCATTCACCACTACACTCCTGCCCTTGTGAGAATCAGTGGAAACATGAGGGAGGAAGAAATGGACCAGAAAGTCATGGACCTCCATTGTTGCCAGAGCTGTGATTCTTGGGCTCATCTTGACCTACAGTTGCAATTCCAGCCAACCCATCACATGTCCTAGTTTAGACTGATATGAAAGGACCATATTTCTGTACCTTTCTTTCAAGAATTAAAAACTCTTCACCTGAAGAAAATCAGAACAAGGAAAGAAGTATTCTAAACTTTTCTCTCTATTATTAGAGTTGGGAGGTGTTTTATTTTAGTATGTGGCAAGTATTGAATATGTGACCAATCTCCCCACATAGACTGAAGTAGCACAGTCCAGACTTCTATAGCTCTATATCTACCACCTCATTTTGACCTCTGACTCTCCTTATTCACTGACGATAAGGATATGCAGCCAGCCACTCTTGTGGGTTGAAAAAAAGTGGAGAAAAGGAAGGGCTCCTTTCACTTGACAAAAAGCCGTGGCCCACCTTTCACTCAGGCAGAAATCGGCACCTGGGTTTAAAAAATGGATACGGGAATTCAGATGTCCCTGGGTGCTGCATACAGCTTGTTCCCAAAGACTTTGTAGGCCCTCTATTGTGACTGAAATCCTCAGGGTTGCCCCCCCACACACACACACACGTTAGGAGAGATGCACAAATGGGTGCCCATCTGCAGCCAGTGTTTCGTGAGCCTCCATGATGTGTGGCAACCAGGGACAGGGCCACAATGCATGACGCATCGCTGTCTTCCCCCCCCCCCATGAACTAAGGGTTTATATGTGACTAAGGGGTGGAACAGGGTGGCCGCTCTTCCACCCCTTTGGCCCTTGGCGTCTCGCCTCCACTTCCCCCAACTTGTCGAACCCACCACCGGTTTGGCGCAACGTTGCAAACCACCGTTCCTTTATGGCCTTTTGGCAAGCCCTGGGCTACCTCCCGCCTTCAGCGAGTGCTTCACAAAATTCCTTCGTGGCGAGCAGGGGGTCTCTTTGGCGGGCTGAGGAAAACGAATGGCCACCATGATTTCAGCGACTGTGAAATTTGGTTATAACGCGTATTTCCTCCTTTCTCGTCTCTTTGGCGGGCTGAGGAAAACGAATGGCCACCATGATTTCAGCGACTGTGAAATTTGGTTATAACGCATATTTCCTCCTTTCTCCCCCCCCCCCCCAGCATGGTTTACACGACGTTTCTTCTGCCTCTCCTTTCTCGGTCCCTCGTTTTTCCCCTTTTCATCCTTCTGTTGCCTCTTCGCTCTTCCCAACTTCCTCCCCGACCCCTCGGCTTGCCTCTTCCCCTTTCCGTCCGGGCCCGAGACCCCTCGTAGCCACCTTTCCCGTTTCCCTCCTTTTCTTTCCCCCTTAACTGCCGAACTCCAAACGACACCCCTTCGATCCCCTCCCGCGTTTTTTTTAAAAGGGGGGGGGAACCGGCCGGAGGCCTCCGATGAAGCGGTTGTCGTGACAACCTAAAAGGGCATCGGGGCTTGGATCAGGGCGGACCCGCGGCGTGAGCTCTGGGTGGGTCGGTGGGTAGCGTCTCGTGTGTGTGTGTGTGCGTGTGTGAGAGGGGGGGCTTCAGAGAGCTAAATGAAGAGGGGGCGCCTGAGGAAGGCGGCAGTGCGCCCGGGGTTAGCGAGTTACACAAGTGTGAGGCTTGAGAGGCGACCCCCTTCCCTTCCTCCACCGCTGAGCCCACTCGCCCTCGCTCTCGCTTGCTTTCTCCCGCTGCCAGCCTCCCTTTTTCCCTCCCCCCCTCTCTCCCCCCCCCTTCTTCGCTCCGCCTGGGAAAGTGGGTTAGGAAGGGAGCCGAATGCTCAGAGGCTGCTCAGCCGCTCGCCCGCGCAGGAGAGCATCCGCACGCCAGAGAGGAGGAGGAGGAGGCGGCAGCAGGCAAAGTCCCAGCCCCTCGCCTTAGGGGGGGCTCGCCAGCCTTTTCGGAGCTCCTTTGGACAGCTTGATTTGTTTGTTTTTGTCTCTCGGGCTCTTTCCTCTCCTCCCCCCCTCCCCTCGGCTGCTGCCTCGGGCGCGCGCCCCGTGGGGTGCTTTCCCTCCTCTGCCCACCCTTGCTTTCCCGTCGGAGACCCTCTCCCGCCTCTTCGTCGTTTCGATCCCAGCCCGGGTTTCTTTTTGGGGGGGGCACTCTTTAAAAAGAGAGAAAGACTTTCTTGCTTCCTCAGCCACCAGGAAAGCGCTGGAAGAGAAACTGAGGGAAGGAAAAAAAAAAGGAAGAGGGGGTAAAAAGGGGGGGAGGGGGGAAAAAAAGCCAAACAGCAGCCGCCAAAAAGAAGGGAAGCGAGAACTGGATTGGGGAAACCCAGAGCAAAAGAAGCCGAGAGATCTGCTGAGCTAGAAGGCAGAGTTGTGCGGGGTTTCTGTGGTTTTTTTTCTTCCCCCGGATCGATTGTCGGATATTTCCTCTCGCCTGCTGCCCCCTTGGTCCGCTCTCGCTTCTTCTGCCCCTCTCCGGAGGGGAACTCGAACCCGTCCTTCTCGGAGCGCGGAGCGAGCGAGCGGGAGAGAGAGACAAGAAAAGTCCATCCTTTGCAACTCCAGCCATGGTGGGAAGGGCTCAGCCCGATCGGAGACAGTTCCCGTTGGTCCTACTGAGATTGCTCTGCCTTCTCCCTACAGGGCTGCCCGTCCGCAGCGTGGATTATAACCGAGGCACCGACAACATCACGGTGAGGCAGGGAGACACAGCCATCCTCAGGTAGGGGGCGATCGGCCAACTTTTTAATTCTTCTTCCGTTCTCTTCGTGGGTCTCGTACGCGCGGAAGGACTCGCGTGTTCATGTACGTGTGAATGGGACTATGGTTTCAGCTAGGTTGTGGGAAGCTGATTCTGATACCTGGCGCGCAAATATGCCCTGTAATTAGACCCTTTCCTTAACAGCGTTAGTTGTATGTAAGGATGGGTCCCGCTTCTAAACCAAACTAAACAAATCGTGGCAATGGATTCAAACAGTTTGATTTTCAAAGTCTCCATTAGCCGTGCGCTAGATGCTTATGCAAATGAGAGGATACCTCCGCCCAGAGACAATGACATTTCTAGGCTGTTACAAGAGCTAATATCCCACACCCCTTAAACGATGCAACTTAATATAACACATGTTCTTGGAGTAGCTTGGATTGAGCCCTTCGTTATGAACAAGAGAGTTCTTGATAATTTCCTTTCCCCTGCCCATGTCTATGACCTTATTTCCTCCCTTGCTTCATTTGAATGAGAATAAGTGAGTCTAAGATGGGGCACATGCAATTTGTCCCTTGGTGAAACTGAGTACACAGTACTCGTGTAGTAACATAACAATGGAAGGAAAGGAAAGAGTACCTAACCCACAGCTAATGAACTTTTAGGAAAAGGGGCTTTGGAAGTGTTTCTCCTTCTGCTTTCCTTTCCCCCACTTCCTTCTGAAATTCAGACACTAATCTGAAATTCAGACACTAATTTCTTGCCATTTGGTCTGTGTCTCATAACATTACAGCAAAAACTATGCCTCTTTTGGTGGCAGTATGTATTTCTGATGAAAGAATGCTTGGATAGTTTGAAAAAGAGTACAGTATTTTAATTTAGAATGGTTCCTTTAATTTGCATGTTTCCTTTTGTGGTTAATCCTGTGTTGTTTTGCTATGTTCCCACTTCCTGTTTTCAGTTTCCTTGATTAGTCTTGAACAAGAGGTGTCTTTAGTGTATACATATGTGATCTGGGTGGTTAGTGGTGGGAAGCTGCACCTGAGAGAGCCTAGATTTCTGCTGTCTTCTCAAAGCCGAAAAACAATGTGTATTATTGTAATATGTTCTATTAAAATAGCAAAACTGCCCTACTATGAAAATTGTTCGCTGGTTGGGTGCATGAGTGCATGAATATGGTCTTTCTGCATATCGTAGCAATAAAACTACTGGATGTGATTTAGAATAAGTGTTTAATCTTTACAAAGAGCTGATGGTGCACTATCCTCAAATACCCAGAGAGCAGTTCTTTGACAATGCTAATGACAGAAGCAAAGTTTTCACTCTATTCTTCCAGAATGAGGCTTGGTAACTAGTAGACATTGCTATGAATTTGTTCATTTCCTTTCATTTAACGACTGGAGGGATACTTGTGAATTCACATTATTGGTGTGTGTGTGTGTGTGCATGTGCACACACATGCATGTGTGTCTTTTCCACATGGATCTCAACTTTTCACTGGGTGCAGAAAGACAGAACATGGTACATTTTTAAATTTTCTTATGTTTTGAGTGTATAGTAGGAAAGCAAGAGTGAGGAGCAATTCTGAATGCCAAGCCTAAGAGAGTGTGTATATTTTTCTTCTCTTAGATCTCATGAGCTGGGAGTGTTCTGCTCCGGGAATATCCTTTCAGCAGAATCTATTCCACAGCTCTCCAAACTTGTTAACTTGCATGTAAGGTTTATCCACATGGAGTAATAGGATTTACAGAGTAATTCATCTGCCTTGCGTTTGTGATGGAAAGCTTTAGCCAAGGCAGATACACCTAACAGTGGTGCTGCCTCTGACTGCTGAGTTCTTTCTCTGTCCACCTGCCCTGTGGGTATTTATGCTCTTGTTAACCCCTTTCAGCAGGGCTTCCCTATGCTCACTTATCTCCTTCCATTTTAAAATCCATGGTACAGTAATTGTACTGGCTTGGTGTTTCTCTTTCTTGCTGTAGCACAGGAGGGAATATACTCAGCTCTACTGTGTACATATGGCTGCAGCAAAGTCATTAAGCTCACTTACCTAGCTAGGGGTCATTGGATTTCTATTTTCCACTTAACCTTGCAGCCCTGGAGTTTGTCTAGAGATACTTGGTGCTCAGAATTCCTTTGCTGTAGGCTGCACGGAAACGTATAGAATATGCATGTACAGATTTCATCTTTTTGTATGAGTTGCCAGAATATAGTTTTGTTTTAGAAAGTTTATTGACATCTAATGTAAGTTCACATCCAAAAGTGTGTGTGAGGGACACAGTATTTATCAGTATATTGTGTCCAGTGTGTATTAGTATGGAATGAGTGAAAGACACACAGAGAAAGAGTATGCAGAATAAACACACACACACACAGACACACACACAGACACACACACAAACTCACACACAACAGAGAGACATTAATTTCTGTTAGGTAATAGTGCATAAACTTTCAAGCCCAACAGCTAAAATTAGACAATATATTGAAGATCCAGCCACAGAAATTAGAGTTTCAGCTTGTTAGATACAGAAAGGTCTGCATGCTTTGTAATTTTGCCACTGGCAAGAATTCAGTTCAGACTTTATCTTTGTTGGAAGTTTTATTCATGTAGCACCTAAATGTGCTTCACTTAAGCAATTATTTCAAGAATGTGCTCTATGAGTCCTTGGGCCGACAAGTGCTGGTAATTTCAGCCTTCACAAATCTCATGCTTATGTGCACAGCTGTCAGAGATAGCTCTAGTGTTGGTGTGGCTAGTTCATCTCTAACCCAATTCAGATATTCATTTGGAAGAAATTAATGTGTGAAGGGGAGACTGGGGCTGTGCTCATTGCCCACATTCAATATCACTGCATTCAAGGGTCCCATTTACATAGAGCCCATAACGTGAGTTGTACCTTAATCAAATGGAGCACACTAAGTACTTATACAGAAACTTGGATAATAAAAATCTGTCAGTCTCATTATTGTTATGTCTTACAAAATTTCACCAACTTTTATGTTTTATCCAAGTTCTTTCCCCCCTACCACATAAAGATTTGTGTGCATTTATGCACTCCCACCAATGTACAGATTTAATGCATATACTTTTCTAAAGTGTTTTTCTCCATTTATTAAAGCATATTTGTGTACACTTCTCAAATGCACACATTTTAGTCATATACATTTACTTTTCAGATGTACACCTATTTAGACACAATCATTTTTCAAATGTATCCATGGTTTTCAACATATATTATGTCTCAAGCTGCAAACTCTGTACATTTTTCATTACTAGTGGAAGCCTACATGAATTGGTGTGTGCAAACTGAACTCTTGAACATGTGGAGGTTGGAATGTGAAAGTAGGATTTAATTCTGCCCAAATTATGAGGCCTGAACAGGGCTGATTCAGTTTAATATTATATTGACATAAAAGGTACTAGTCTATTGGATGTGCTTCAGCAACCAACTGGATGTTCAGCAACTTCCATTAAAAAGTAGCCTTTGCTAATATTCTGGCCAATATTCTCCCAGGGCTGCTGGGAGCAGGGAAAAGGAGGGACAGGGTGGCTCTGAGGTCCATTATGGGAAGAAGCTGGTGGGTGGTTAGAAGAATCAACTTACTGCAACTTGTTACATAAGATATGAAAGGAAATAAGAGTCCTTTTAATGTGTTAGCAGCCATTCACAAAATCCCATGACTTGGGACATGAGAAACATCCAGGCAAAGATTTTATGTGTAGATGTGCCATGCTTGGGATCTTGCATATGGTACAAACCTTGGATCAGATGCTTCATGAAGTGAAAATAAGGCAAAGGACTTTGATGAAGAGGAGGGTTAGGAGAGGGAGTATAAATTCTGGAAGACATCTCTTCCACCAGAAACCCAAGAGAGCTTCACTTTTACCACAGCTTCCATTTCTGCAGCCTGAGGACTCTTCTGTCTTATTTGGATTCTAGGAATGGCATTTCTTAATCTGTATCAGTGGCAAAGTCCGCTCTGTGCCACCGTAGTGAATCTATGGAAAACTGGGCAAGGACCCTTCAAAACATAGAGTTAACAGAGACAGCCAATGGGGAAGGGGACAGAGTGAATTATCCTGGCTAAGCAAGCAAACACACACACACACACACAAACACACACATACATAGAACAAACTTTTCCATTCTAGGTGAAAGAAGAATTCCATAATAAATGCCAAATATGTGGGTAGGGCAGTCCAATGGCAGACAGTAGGTGGCTCTTCCAAGTGGTTCCATTCTGAACCAGTGCGTTTAATATTTGAAAGGGCCAGGGTTCATCAGAACACTCCTGATTACAGAAACTCTCAGTGTTCCCTGCCTCCACTTGGAGCTGTCCAAGGTTCTGCATTTCACCTGAATCCTTGCTTTTCTGCTTGCGTTCCTACTTCAGTTCCTTTTCTGCTTGAATGCCAGGCAGACTTACGATCTATGCCTGGAACAAAATAGTGACTGATTTGTTTCCACTTAATTTAAGGCTCTGAATGAGCAAAGGGTTACAGCTTAGTGACAGATAGTATGATTCATAGTGCATTCTTCTGGGTCCATTTCCCAACATCACCAGGTACGGATGGGTAAGACCTCTCTCTAAAACCCTGAAGAACCATTCTCTGTCACTGCAGATGGTACTGATCTAGGTGGGTCAACTGTTTTTGACTCAATATGAGGCATCTTCCTGTGATTTTTCCTATGAATGTCACCCATTTCTCTGATAATTTAAATAGAGACTATGCACATATCGGGTATGTTATTGTACTCCCTATGTTATTTTGAAATCTACAAATATCTGGCTCCTGATGGTGTTCACAGAGCCCAATTATATAAAATAGTACATATACAAGCTCTGCTCAGACCTTCATCAGAAAGTATGTGGTGCAGTCTGGTGAATTAGGAGTGAGGCCAGTAAGGATTGCTCCACTGCCCACTCCTTACAGATAATATGACAGACATGCTATGATCAAGGATTTTATCTTTGTGAAGCCATGCTGTATACAGCCTGTAAGCCTTCATAGCTTA